GGAGCAGGCAGCAATGATTGCAAAGGGAATTTGCAACAACTGTCTCTGGAAGCGCTTGGATGCAGGAAAGAAACCAACTTGCTCGCCGGTGACTGGATCTGTAATGGTCTTCTCGGGCACAAAGTCCTTCTGCTTGACCTCGATGTTGGAGACGCCCTTGACACCCCAGCGGACACTCAGGTCTTTCTCTTGATGCTTCCAGTATTCGGTGAAGACGGTGCACCACAAGGCGCTGGCAAGCGCGTAGATTGGCGAGAAATAACCGAGGAAGAGCCAGGAGAAGAGGCCGAAAGCCGCAGCTGGAATGAGAAAGGTAAAGTAGGATTGGGTGAAAGCAAAGTAAAAAGCAATCTGGCCGCGTTAGCACTAGACTGCCCTAAGCCGAGAGACATCAGCTTACCTTTTCTCCCATGCGGTTGCGGATGTCGTCCAAGTCCTCAGTACTGAGGAGGTACTGTGATGTCCATTTCTTGATCCAATCTTTGTTGTACGCATGGTCATGCAGGGCGAAGATGGACTCGACGTTCTTCCATTCGCCTTCCTTGGGTGTTATGCCTGCTCCGCCCTCTGATTTGGGGTTTGTAATGAGCTGGTATATGATGCGCAGCCGCTCGGCCTCGTACAATGGCTCTGCTTCGAGTGATTCGCGCGTAACCTTTTCAGGGGCAGCAGACCGGACGCCGTGGATCCAGTCGCGGACTCTTAAGTAGGGGTTAGCTATCCATTTACTGGGGTAAAATAAAGGGCCACGCGTACCTGGACCTGTATACTTCGCCGAATAGGTGCTCGTCAGAAGCAACCCTTACGAAGAGCAGTAGCGAGTGCGAATCGCCGTTGCGGACTTCGGTCTGTAAGCCAACGTTTGCCAGCGCCTCGCACAGCTTCTCAAACTGCGCAGCCGCCTTGACCTTGTCTGTGTACCCGTCAGCGTAACGCTTCACTCACCCCGCCATGGGAGCAAGCATACCCGTGTCGGCAAAGCGGTAGGTAATGACATAGTCGACGTCGAGATTAGTCTGGAGGGCGGTTGATTTGGCCATGTCCGACGGCGAGGCCGAGGCGAGCAGGGCGATTTTCAATTGATAGACGGACCAGGAGAGGGTGGTGAAGTAAGGAATGGCACGAGCAGCAGCTGCGGTGCTTGTCCCCTCCTTCTGGCTCGACATGCCCAGCAATGTGGTAATCAAGGTTGCACGCCGGCCACCAAACGTCATCGTCGCCTACATCCCTGCTCCGTGCAACCCCTGCACCCCTCGACAACTACCTGACTATGGATATATGTACATACAGTACCCCAGTAGATTAGACTTCAGTTTCTCACATGTGCATGTATAAATTGAAATCCACCCGGACGGGCGTCTACTATGGCAAATGCAAACAAAAAACAGATTTCAAACAGGAAAAAGCAAATTGATCTCCCCGCTCCCACCCACATGAAATGAACCGTAGATACTCTGTGCGCCTCCAAATCTGTGGGAAATGCTTATTGAGCCCTGTCATCACCACGGCCGAGTATTCTGAAACCAGGTAGCTGTATATATTTACTTGCAATCATTGTTAGAATACATCAGGTCACAAGCGTCGCACAGTAGAGCACTCGATTCGAGTCAGAGGACCACGATATTCGACGCGTGCGGATCCATCGGACACTAGTAAACACCACGCCCATGTGGAACACTACGTATTCCAACGATATTTTTTCATCTCCACATGACTTCATGCAACCACGTCCCCGCCAAATCCAATCGGCCTTCGGACCGGACCCTGCCTCTTATACGGCACAATGGCCATGGCCTTGTACGTTTTACCCATACCATTCGGGCCTCTGTCCACAAGCCGTTTCCACCCCATCTCTAGCCGTCTCTTCGTTTCCTCGTCCTTGGCTGCCTTGAGCAAGCGATCAGCTCGCTCTTTGATCCCCATGGTTGACAAGAAGAAGGATTGCTCAACAGGGCCATGGACCTCCACACCAGGAGAGGCTTCCAAAGCAGAATCTGCTAGACCAACAAAGTCTACATCCGCCGAAAGATCCACAAGGCCGGGTGCTGCAAAAGGTGAGACGGTCGTGTGTGATCGTATGCCGCGAAGTGTGTTTGCAGGAATTGTATCTAGTGGACCGTAGTCAAGAATGAGAGCGGCTCCAGAAGGCTGCGATTTGGTAAATGTTTCCTCGTCCTTGGGCAGTACGTTAGACTCTTTGGCTAGCGCTGAAGAATTGCTGGCCTTGGAATTACTACCGCCTATTCTCACAGCAAAGTCAGAGACGTATGCAAGCGATTCCGGTGATATCTCAATGACTGCTCCTGGAGTGTCTTCCAGCTTCTTGTAACGATTAGAAAGCTTAGGCAAGTATAGTGAATGTGGTGTTGGCGTTTTTGATACCGTCAGCTCAAAATCAAGCTTTTCTGCATCATGCTTCGATGTCGGAGAGCTTGACGTGTTCGTTTCTGTATAAGGAGAGGTCGGCGATACAACAAGTTCATGCCAGTTATTCTTGGGGGCTGTCACTCCGTGCTTTGGTTTTATGGGACCGGTTGGAGTCATGATGGTTGACGAAGCCGGTATTGAAGACTGTGCTACATTTTGAAAAACATGTATGGGGAGCGCATCAAAGAACTCATGGGCGAGTATGAAAGGGGTCGCTGTGGCCTCTGTGTCGCTTGTCAGCAATGCACCAGAGAAACTGGACAAGGCCCAACCGGAACCTACCTTTCGGCACAAGTCGGATATCCTCACACCACTCAATCTTGCAGTCCGGAATGTACTTGCAAGTTGCAGTTAGGCCGATTTCGCTCTTTGTCATATCCTCAGTCCCAGAAAGCAATTTTGCCTGCTGTTTTTGCAAATAGGGCGACGCTTCGATGAGATAGATGGCTTCAATGCTCTTCGTGAACGCTTTGAAACTCGAAATAGTCTAAGGAAATTTCAGCCCTGATTCTTTCATGTCTCTAATCGGTACTTTGGCATACCCTGAGAACATCATCCATCAACGTTCCTCGTCCAGGGCCAACCTCCATAATTTGGACCTTGTCCTTCCTACCCTGTGCCAGCCATTCGGCGTAGATCCATATACCAATCAACTCGCCAAAGATTTGACTGATTTCGGGTGAGGTTACGAAGTCGCCCTTGGTTCCAAATTGATCCTGTCCGCTCGTCGTCTGTCTCGTGTAGTAGCCGCCTTCGGGATGGGTAAGACACTGGCGCATATATGCTGCTACAGAAATTGGACCAGTCGTCTGGGTTCACTGTCAGGCCCTTTGATACTGGTAGGCGAATTGGATTCTTACGGTAATGGCTTCAGCCAGCGTCTTTGCAAGAGGCGTCGACCATTGCCGTTCCGAACTTGCAGCAGCCGAAGTCGACGACGACCACCGTGAAGCGCATTTTGTTACATGACATCCAATGGGCCGGGGTACTGAGAGGCGAGCATGCGCTGCTGTTCGCAGTAAATTTAGGGATTGAATCCTCATGTTGGCATGCTCATCGCAACTACATGACGTCTGCGCGTTCGGAACGACAAAAGTTCAAATCGGAACGCCGGGGTGAACGAAGCTATGACCATCAACCTACTAGTAGTAAGCCGACGCCGGTTGTTGTCTGCGACGCTCCAATCCGGACATCAGTCATATATCGGTATTTATCGAAGTTGACGTGGTATGCAGTTGGCTTCATTAATCTTCGAGGATAAAGCCTAAACGTGGGAAAGAGAAAGGAACAATGGCATCCCGCTGGGCAAACGACGAAGCAGACAGGGCCGAAGAGCAACGTCGAAAGAAAGAAAAGGAAGAGAAAAAGCGCCTAAAATTGCAGAAACAACAACAAGAAGCAGAGGCAGCAGCGCGCGTGGCGCAAGAAGCAGCCGATTCGCGTCCTGCGAAGCGTAGAAGACTGTCAACAGGCGATGATGATGAACAAGTGCCCAAAGAAAACGAGCGTCAGGAAGAGCGAACACTATTGCGCTTCGAGGGCGGAGGCTGGACCTCATGCCGACACACGTCTAACTTTGAGACTCTGAATCACATTGAAGAAGGGTCTTATGGCTGGGTATCACGAGCGCGTGACATCAGCTCCAACACGGTCGTGGCGTTGAAAAAAGTGAAGATGGACTACAAGCAAGACGGATTCCCCATCACAGCATTACGCGAAATCTCGATTCTCCAACGCTGCCGGCATAATAACATTGTCAATCTTCACGAGATAGTCTCGGGCGACGATGGGCAAGAATGTGTCTTGGTCATGGAGTTTGTCGAGCACGACCTCAAGACGCTACAGGAAGATATGAGCGAGCCGTTCATGGCATCCGAAGTCAAGACGCTGTTGCGTCAACTGGTATCCGGGGTCGGATATCTGCACGAAAACTTCATCATGCACCGGGATCTCAAGACGTCAAACATTCTACTCAACAACAGAGGACAGGTCAAAATTGCCGACTTTGGCATGGCGCGGTACATGGCGCCTTCCAACGCGCCTCTCACACAACTCGTGGTCACGCTTTGGTACCGCGCGCCGGAACTGCTTCTTGGGACGCGGGACTACGGGACCGAAGTCGACATGTGGAGCGTTGGCTGTATATTTGGGGAGCTGTTGGCCAAAGAGCCGTTGCTGCAAGGCAAGAATGAAGTCGACGAGCTCTCGCTCATCTTCTCGCTGTGCGGATTACCGTCTGAAAAGACGTGGCCGGAATTCTACCGGCTGCCCAATGCAAAGAGCCTCAAGATGCCCCGAGACCACCGCAATGCACCTGCCTTTAATCGTGCAAAGTTCCCCTTTCTCACAGCCTCGGGTGTCGATTTGCTTTCTTCGTTGCTCGCGCTCAACCCGGAATGCAGGCCAACGGCGAAGGAAGTTCTGGCCCACGGGTATTTCAAGGAGCAGCCCAAGCCTAAGCCCACAGAGATGTTTCCCACGTTTCCCAGCAAGGCCGGGCAGGAGAGAAGACGCAAGAAGAGCCCGAATGCACCAAAGAGGGGTGAGGCGCCGGGCATGCAGGGTAGTCTGGATTTTAGCAGCATCTTCAGGGCGAGGGAAGACGAAGAAAAGGGAGCTGGATTTCAACTGAAGATGACATGATTACTCGGTAGTATTGATGTATAACTTGATAGATGGTGGCTTCATGGCCGCACCAAAGTCACTAATCCATGCACGTACCTGCCCATGGAAGAAGGCCTGGTTGCCAGTAGGCTCTAAAGGGTACCCGTGAGGGCTCCGTCCATGTAAACAGTAACTAGCTTGTTTCAACACATTACAGCCCAGCAGATGGCGCGTTCATCGGCGGTCTCTGCTCCGGCTGCGGTCGCTGCCGTAGGAACTGTAACTAGGGCTTCTCCGTCCTCTGGCTCCGCCAGTGCTGCCGCCGCCGCTAGGGCCACCTCTTGGTGGCGGGCTATCCCTCCTGCCGTAGCCTCGGTTTGGCGGAGTTCTCGATGGAGACCGGCTGTAGGACGAGCGCGAGATGGTCCTCCGTGGCGAGCGGCTTCGGGACCGTGTATACGATCGTGGGCGTCCTCCCCATCCTCCTCGTCCGCCTCGGCCGCCTCGGCCGCGTGCCCACTGTGCACGATCAGGTGACATGCGGCGCGGTGGAGAGCGGTAGCGTGGAGGACCATCCATGGGCGGTGGTCTGTATGCTCCGGGCGGACCTCCTCCTCGCGGACCCCGTCCACCGCGTCCGTAACCGGTGTCGAAGTCGTCTTGGAATCGGTCGCCTGGCGGTGGGCCTCTCCGGGCTGGGGGAGGGGTTTGAGAAAAGCGACGTCTCGGGAGGACGATGGAGACTTGGATTCTGGAACCGTCCAACTGTGCGTCATGCATCTTTGCGATTGCACGCTCGGCTTCGTCAATGTCGTGGTAAAGTACGTATGCGATGCCGCGATTGATGTTGACTGCGTGGCCATGAGTAAAATGAGAGCGAAAGTGCGAGATGGGACATACAAGTGGGATTCATGGGCATCCTGACGTCTTTGACGACGCCGTACTTTCCAAATATCTCACGTATGTGATCCTCCTTGACGTTTCGGGTCAAGGCTTCTACCACAATCTGTCAGACTATTAGTGGCCGGGGGCGATGAGGTGGGAAGGCTGGCGCGAAGCAAGTGTGTGTCCTTGGCATGCTCACCTTTGCACTCCGGGGTGCTGGCGACGCATCTCGGGGGGTCGGGCTGCGAGTGTAGCTCCTCCCTCTTGAGCGCGACCTGCTGTTTGGTGTGTAGCTGCGTCGGCCATTGCGGCGGGGAGATGGCCATGTGGGCGAGCGGGATCGGGTGCGCGACCGAGAAGGGGTGAGAGAGCGTGGGGATAGCGAGCGCCGTGGCGATGGCGAGCGTGGCGAGGGAGAGCGGCTGGGTGATGGTGTTGGCGACCTGTCGCGAGACGGGGTGCGCGATGGCGAGCGTGCTGGAGAGGGAGAGGGCATGGTGTGGGTTTTGTCGGCGGCCGGGTGGCAAGAGAGGTGCATGCGGCGAGGGGCCAGCTCACATGGGTTTGGCGATTGGGTTGGGGCGATGCCGTCGTGTGTCTGTCTGTTCACGCGTACTCTTTTGGCAGTGGCAGTTGCAGTGAGCGCTGAGCTGAGCTGAGCTGAGCCGAGCCGAGCTGCGGACGGGGGTTAGCGTGGGCACGTGACTGGCGCGCGACACGGAGCGAGGCAGAGGCAGCGGCAGCGGCAGCGGCAGAGGCAGAGGCCAAGCGGGAGAGACGATGGCAGAACGCAACAGGACCACGTCTGCTGCGCAACATTGCGTGGCACGCAGTGGGCCATGGCGAGCGTCGAGTGGTGCCGAGTCATACAAAGCAATTGTGCTTCCTCTGTGCAAGCAGCTCGACCGTTTCGTGCCCTGCAACGCATGCGTCCGCTTGTCTTGTCTGATGCCGCCATCTCGACCCGCGCCATGGCTGCTGGCCCCGAGAGACGACGTTCAGCACACGGGGCGGGCATCGCGGCCGAGCGTGGTCGTCGCCGCTGGTGTGTTGGGCTCGTTGCATCCATGGACGCAGACGCAGACGCAGACGCAGACAGGCAGACGAGGGCGAGGGCGGGGTCGAAGCAGCCCCACTATCAAACCGCGACTTGGCCCAACAACGCAGCACCAACCCTCCTCACCGCATCTGCCCTCTCGTCCCGCTAGTCAAAAAGTACCTGCATCGACCGTGTGCTCTGCCTCGTCTTCTGTCAATCTTCTCATCACTCTAGCTCCCGCAGCACGCACATTCCCCCTCGCCCACCATGTCCTGGCAAGGTGAGCAACCACGCTGCCCCTCCCCTCCTTGTTCGCGCACAAGACTGACCCAAGCCAGCATACGTTGACACCAGGTGCGTCTCACCTCGGCCTCCCTCCCCCTGCCCGTCTAACCACCTTCTCCAGCCTCGTTGGCACCGGCAACATCGACAAGGCCCTCATCTGCGATGTCGAAGGCGCAACCAACTGGGCCGCCTCCCCAGACTTCACGGTACGTCGTCTGCTGGCCTGCGCGGGGCACAGCCGCTGGTCCTGCAACAAGACACGGAATGGCACTGCCCTTGCCTGGGCCCTCACAGTGCACTCGCATGCTGACAGGTGACAGCTGTCTGACGAGGAAAGGGCGGCCATTGCCAAATCCTTCAACGACAAGTCGGACCCCAAGAAGGTCATCTCCGAGGGCATCAAGGTCAACGGCGTCAAGTACATGACCATCGAGGCAAGCGACGATGCGCTCAAGGCAAAAAAGGTACCCTCTCCACCCCTACCGCCCACGCCTATGCCTGCCAGCTACTGACGGTAACACCAGGGCAAAGAGGGCGTCGTCGCCTTCAAGACTGGCCAGGCCGTCATCATCGCCCACCACCCCGAATCCATCCAGACTACCAACGCTTTCTCCTCCGTCGCCGAGCTTGGCGACTACCTGAAGAAGCACGGAATGTAGACCATCTCTGCCCCGGCACTGTTTGTATGTTAGAGATATTTGCATAGCCCCCCACTCGTCAAGTGGTGGACAAGATGGCAGGGAGGACTGGTCAAGGATATAGATATGAATCATGATGCACCACATAGCGACAGAAGAAATTTCTCTTTGATGCAATGACATGCCTTTAGACCACGCCCAGTGCTAAACCATACAACATCAGTTATCACGCATAATCTTTTCCCCTACCAATCTAAACAACTACATAACAAGAATTTGCCATCTGCTCGACTAATTCTTATGCAAAGTTGGTAGAGTAGACTTTCTTTCTTGTTCTACCTTTTTTTAAACTTTCTTTTGTTTAACCTTGAATGAGTGTTTGTGTCTTTTAAACAAGTGATAACATGTAGCAATTCCAAAATCTTACTTATATAACATAGTTCAAGTAATATAGGTGAAAACTATCATTTTTTATGATAGAGACACCTTGTTCTAGACATCTAGAGAAGTGTTCAAAAGACCATTCACCTCATGTTCTGTTACTTCAACTCGTTCCATAGCCATTACATTATTGACACAACACATGATATAATACAGATAGTAGAGCGCTGTAGTAGAGCTCATGTCTTCGTTTAGCTTATTACCTAGTATTAGATTACCTTGGTAATAAAATCTCATTGTTTTGTATACCTGTGTATTTGTATCGTAATAGTGCATTAGCTAAACTAATACTACACCCCCTGACCTACTACAGCAGTAGCAGTAGTCTATCACACTATTCCTGGGTAGGAAGTTTTAAAAGGATGGTTCAAAGCTGACCAAGTCAAGCTAAGTGTTTCAGTCAGGATTGTGGTTTTGCCCCGACGCTCAGTGAGAACACCAATGTTTTGTCTAAAATAAAATCCCATAACTTCACCCATGTATACCATTTGCCTGCAAACTATAATAATACACGTTTCGCGTCGTCACATCTAAGCACCTCTGTGACTCATTTCGGCTCATTTTGATATACTCTAATTGTCTCTATACTGAGACCTACCTCTATGGTCAGATCTGAGTATTCTCAATCATATTTTTGGGCTTGGCATGCTTCAAGAACTGGCTCTCATACCTGTTCGACAATTTCCTGTACGAAAAGTCTCAAGTGTGGCATTTAAGCATATTCCTGACCTTTTGATGGATTTGCACGAGAAAAGAAATAGTGCAGAAGTCATGAATGCTCTCGAACAGAGCGGTAATAGGTGGGTTAACCACTGGAACGACTCAAGAGCACTTTTATAACCAACATTCCTCTCATCTATTATAGCCTTCACGTCTGATGGAACAAGGTGCTTGATTATTGTGAGATGACTTCTATCTAGAATACAAGCTTAGGTCATCGCAGTGGTCCGGGTGTCTAGGGGGAGCAGCAAGGCTGAACTGGTTTTAGAGCTGAAATGCCATATTTTGAAAAAAACCCAGCGTTTTGGGACCGTACGATTCCGATTACATTCTCTGCAATACTGCTTCTGCTGATTGATCTCTGTAAGCGACAGTAGCAACATGGGGAAACGAATAATCACGACACTGGTGGCACCACCGCAATACGAGCACGAACTATGTTCGCCGCTGCAGTTCCAGCTCTCCGACCAAAGACTGTGCCAGAAGTCAATCCACTGCCTCCAGGATAATTGTTGTAGAATAATCCTCCAAGCATTTCGCCAACACAAAACAACCCACCAACCTCCCTGCCAGAGTTGGAAATGACTGTTGTACTCTCCGGGTTTACAGCCAGCCCGCCAAACGTAAAGGTGACTCCACAGCATACTTTGACGGCCATAAAGGGGCCTTTATCGAGTGGAAGCGCCCAATTAGACTTTGCTAGAGTTAATTTCTTAGTTGAAGATTGTGTTGAAAGGCCATCTTTGACAGCGGGATCCCACTGGTTAGTATTCAAATTTTCCGCTTGAGACGCGTAGACGGCCTCATTGTACTCAGTGATTGTCTCAACAAACTGATGAGGATTGCTCAGCCCCGACTTTGCAGCGAGCTTCTCTGCCAATTCTTCCAAAGTAGCGCCCCATATTTTTTGAACCCGTTCGTCTCTATACTCTTCGTCGCGCAACCACGGTATGGCATGTTGGTCCCAGACCTGGAAAGCTACACCTTCAGGCTGCTCGTGGATAGCCCGTCCGAACTTCGCGTAGGTGTAGTTACGCATGTCGATGCCTTCGTCGACGAATCTTTTACCGTCCATGTTGATCATTAGACCAAGCGGGTATCCAGACTTTGTAAACTCATTTGACACATCGCGATCACCACTATTGGCAGGAGCATTGGCATCCCAGCAGGTAGAATGGCAGCCAGACCAATTTCCCGCTTGCTTGGCATTGGCATCGCGAATCGCGAATTCCAGCATTTCGCCGGTATTGAAAGGCGTGCCACGGACACGCGCTACATCCCAATTAGGGCCAAGATGCTGGGAGCGCATGCGCGGGTTGGCTTCAAAGCCTCCTGCTGCAAGAATGACGGCATTGGTCGTAACGAGTGTATCTACGCCCTCGCATTCTACCATGACTCCTGTCACGGCACCTGACGAACAAGTGATGATACGTTTGGCGGCCGTCGAGTAATATACCTCCACTTTGTGCCTTTCAGCACAGGATTGATGATCCGCAATCAATCCTTTGCCGCCATCCTCTGTCATAAGCGCCAGGCCGCCCCAAAACTTGAAACGGCCATTGACCTTGTACGCCTGGCGATTGAAAGAAAGTTGGAACCTGATTCCGTTTTTTGCAAGCCACTTGACAGCTTGGTTGGATTCGTCAATCAGTGCCTGGCTCAGCGCGGCATCCGAGCGGCCTGAGCAAATACGATGCATGTCTTTGCGGAAATCATCCTTGGTATACGGCTTCATGTCAATGAGTTCTGCTATCTCGGCGTCAACATTGTTGACAATGGGCAATAGATCGTCAATGCCATCATGAATGGTGCGGAAAGCGCCTGCTGTGAAGTAACTGTTTCCTCCAGCCCATTCCTCTGGCGCTTTTTCAACAAGGACAACACGCCGGGCGCCAGCTTGGGCGGCGGCAATAGCCGCAGAGAAGCCTGCATTGCCGCTACCAACGACTAGGACGTCGATCTTTGGCTGAGAGATAAGAGGATGCATGCTAGCAAAACAAAGCCTCATTCATTAATAGATGGATGGTTATATTGTTATTATTGTTCCTAGATTCCGCTATGTGCTCCATAGCTCTGCCCGGCTAGCGGGCTTGGCAGACAGCTAGCGCCCAATCGAAACTATACATTGTTCTGCTCAACTAGGCTAGTAAATAATCAATGCTTAGGTTATATTTAGATTGCTATAAGTTTTAGTAAGAGTTAGGTTATTATTACACGGGGTTAGGTGCTAATACTTCTCTAGGTTTAATCTAGGTTAGAGAGAGTAGAGTTTAGTAAATAGGTCTATAAGTATTTATCTAGTGCTATAGTATATTAGAGATCTAAGCTACTTAGCTAATCTTCACTTCTATAATGAGCCTAAAGCTATATAGTCTCGTCACTTGCAAAACGAAATAAATTACCTCTTTAGTCTAAAGTAATGCCGAATGCCGAAGATAAGATTATCCAGCCTAGTGTAATAGCTAAGCTACTAACACGACCGATATCCAAA